TCGTTTCACCGTTGAGAACGAACGGCAACTGGCACGTGTTATACGGGACAGTATAACGAAGACGCAACCCTTTCAGAATCGCTCGCGCAAAGATTTCGCTTTTTATTCCCCAAGTTCTTGCTGTTCATAGTCAGTGGAAAAGATGCTTAGACGTTCCGCGAGATTGTCGCATAATGGACTCCACCGTGCAAACGTAATCGTTGACGAGAGTTCGCTTTAGAATCACTGATTTGAATCGAGCCCCTCAAAAGCTTCTAACTTGTTATCTTCTAATGACTAACTCTAGTTGTTTGTTACTTATTATAAGATTAACAGTTGTTGGTTGACTGTGGAGCTTCGTGCATTTATAGAGCGTACAATACGCAGCGGGTCTCGTTTATCTTGCATTTCGAAATGGTTCTGTTATCTTTCGTGATAAAGAAGTTTCGAATAAAATTTGATTAACGAGGGAATATTTTATGGTAATTGCGTTTTGAATCAAGATCATGTTTCTGGATATTTCAAGATCATTTATGTTTTTCTGTTAAATAGAACCATATAAAATTGTTAAAAGTGTGTCTTTGAATAAACAAAATTTTATTGCAAATTCTGTTTGAATTTTCTTTTTGTATTGTTAAAAATAAGAAAAAATATTTAACAAGCTTAAGATAAATGGGATTACCTACGTATAAGATGTTAAGACGACTTTTATAAACAAAGGAATGTTGAAAAATTGATAAACTATGAATTATAGTTGTAGTAACTTTTCTATCTGCTAGATTCGAAAACATACTTGTCTGTTCGTTATTAGAACTTTTCTAGAAGAATATCATTCTGTAAACAAAATATTCGAATTATAAATGGAAGAGTGATTGCGTTATTTAATATATACAAATAACCGCTTGCCGTTTTCAAACGCTTTTATGTAGTGTTTCGATTCGCCGGTCGATTAAAGGTGGAAGCAACGTCCGTATTTATACGCCGATTTATTATACAGCCTATTTATGTCGTTCTTTCGACCAGTTAATCCGCGAACATTCTGCTTAACAGAACGATAAATCTCTCCGTCGATCGTTTAGCGTTCGGTTAATGAATTATGGAAACGAAGCAGGGGAACAATGAACGATTATCCTACCAGCATTGAATAAATTACACCAACAGTTCGGGCTGAGAGTTTCTATGGAGACCGTGTTTCGATCGCTTTATCTGGGTCATCCCGGTAATTAACTAGCTATACCCGTATCTGAACAAATTTCCCAGCTCCCATCTTGCAAGATGTCAATTATTATTACTCTCATTAGTCAGGAATATCTTATACAACGTGGAAAATCTTTGAACGTCGTCGAGGAAATCGAAATAATGTATTTATATTAAATTTTGTTCCACCTTCTGTTGAAATTTTATCGAACAGTCTACGATGAACAGATTCGATGAACTAAATTATAATCAAATTTAATGCAACATTGTATTAATTCTAATTTTGTGAATTTATTAATAAAAAAATTTTCATAAATATTCAAGTAATCACTATTTAACAAATCATTATGCATTTGTGGCAGCAAATTTTCCCAATAATGATGAATGTTTCTATTTTATTAGTTCTATTATATTATTCCTAATCGACGAAAGTTTCTTCGTGTCCTCATAAAACAACCCATAGAAACTCGATGCAATAATCAGTCGCAAAACGCGAGAAGCTGCAACAAGTATACTTTATTACATGGCATTTATACGTGTCACGATGTGACAAGTGTCTCCGACGCGACATATTCATTAACGGAGTCCGCGTTGATCCCGCTCTACTTCACTGCTAATTGACCCCTTACCTTATGATTTATATATTTCTCAACCATAATCGATACAACTACAATGTCATTAATAATTTACTAGAAAAAAGAAGAAGAATTCTGGGTTTACTTTACATCTTCGTTTGCTGTAAAGTATAATTATTCGACAACAGGAAAATAATTTAATCAATAATTTAATTCATTAAATAATAATTTAATCAATAATTTAATTCAATAAATAATCATTTAATTTGATGTCACATGATATCCCACTAAACACCCTACATATTCGTATTAACTATCTTCAACGTTCCCATCATGACATCGTACCATAATTGCGTCCATCTGAAAACGTATTCATCATCACCTCTATCTAAAGACAACGATTCATACCGAAATGCTCCGTTAGCATTATAACTGCGTTTACTTTTACACCTAACTCTGTAAACATCTTGTACGTTTGACGAAGCCTAAATATAGCTGACAGTCCGACGTCCAGATTTTTAGTTACTGCAACCCCCAACGTGAATCATCAAGGCCCAAATGTTTTTCCCTCTCTACTACCAAATTCTCTCTTTCCCGAGCTATCTAAAATTTTATCAACCAAAAAAAGGAGCAGAATTATTCTAAACACGCAACTGTTTAGAACAAGTCAAAACCTCTACCTCGTATTTCTAACTCGAACTCACCATCGTGCGATACAACAAAACACACCAAACCTAAGTAACTTTGGTTTCCTCTGGATCTGAATAAGATCCTACCATCTTTTTTGGGAGTATTCCTCTCGTATGTTGCGGTAACATAACATTTGAAATAAACAAAAATTGTGACACTTGTGTTTATTGAATTCTGCTTCAATTTCTCGTTACGAGTCTGACACGGTATTATAAGATAAGGGGTTAATTCTCGCGCAGGGGAAGGATGCAGCTTTCATCGAGGTTCACATCGAACTTCTGGGTTCATAAATCGGCTGTCGACGGGCCGGTAGTCATGGATTATTAAGCTGTAAACGAAAAATTAGCTCCCGACTGGAATTTTTAATTAATGTCCACGTCAAAGTCTCGCCGTTATGTTATCGAACTAAAACTGTCCCGTAAAAGTTCCACGAGAAAACTTCTCCATTTTCGACTCACTCTGCTCGGAGAAATATACGCTGCCGACCAAGTTCATTTACGCGATACTTCATAGGAGTACCGTGGCAGGTTTCCACGAGACGCCGAAGAAAACCATTTTAAGCAGCGCGAAATTTGGGGTATGGTTTCGTTGACGGGTTTCGATCGTCGAAAATGTTTGTAAACTATTATGTTGACAACACGGTACCCATTTTGAAGTTTTCTACTGTACAATGGTGTTTTGTTCTCGTGCAAATTCATAGAATTGATTTGGGTTTTTATTTTTTTTTTAATTTTTACGTCCATTCCTATTTATTCGAACTTTTATTCGAAAAATTTATTCAAAATGTAATTATTATTTGATATTAGAATAATATCCAGCTCTGATTTGAATTGGTAATTAAATAGTGTTACTAGTCTCTGTAGGAATTGAATAACTAAGAATCATCTGGACCACAAAGAATTAATGATTTCTTAACAAGGAAACAAATTCTATATACCCACCACATGCTTTTCCACAAAAGTTTAATAAATATTAACTTCCATTCCTAAATAAATACATTTCCTTGATCAATATAAATAGAATAATATTTAATTCACCAATTTAAATTGAACACACGGTTTACGCAATTTGACGCATATTAAATTTTATATACATCATTTCATAAGTGTTTACGACGAGTTTGATTGACAATTTGTCACACCGATTCGAATATAAATATCAATATCAATTTCTTTAATATTAATCTTACTTTCTCAAATGTAGTGCCAGTGTATGGTTGAGATTATGATTAAAATAATTCCAAGCACGATGTAGATCTGACTAGTTTTATCGATTTTAAGGAAATGAACCTTCAATTTTGTTAATTACATTAAGTCGGCAAAACTAGTCCGATTTACATCGTATTTAGACTCATTTTAATCACAACAATCTGAACAATTACTAGCACTACGTTTGAAAAAGTAAGATTGAAATGAATGAAACTGACATTTTCTTTATTGCATGTTTATATTTGATCGTGCGACATCGCTATGAATTCTGTTTCATTTACACTCTTCGTTTACACGAATCCGCCAATTACAAAAGCGACTGAAACCGAGGTCTCAACGTTCATCGCAAGTGGACGTGACTCTTTTCCGCACTTACCTTTTCAATTTCAGGGACAAGTTACCAGATGTCGTTTTTAAACCTTCAACTTCTAAAATCCGAATGAACGAACACGAATTCTTCTGGGAGCAGTGAAATAAACCGTACAATGAGTGTCCGTAAACCTAGCGTTAAAATCTTCACTGACTCTGCCTCAAGATTCTAATGCAACGGAGTACGTAACTCTTGCAGGGACGAAAGCGCCCTTTAAAAGGACACGTCTTTCAGCTGAGTTTTCATCGGAGTTTGCCCATCTTCCCGGCCAATCTCCAGCGGCAGGGACAGCGTGTATCGCGACAAATTGAAGTAAATCGCGGTTTCGCACCGATCCTTTGATGTTCCGGCCGCTAATGGGTCAATGAAGTTGGTGGGACATGAAACTTCAGTTACTGCCGAAAGTTGGGGAAAGTTGCGGCGCATAATTCGACGACGTTGTCGCTGCCACGGTCCGCGGCGCACGCTGGCCCCTCGTTATATCGTTCCGATCGATCGTACCGACACTCCTCATCGGTCGTCCTTTTGATTTTCGACGAGACCATTTGTCGGGGACAACTCCCGAATTCAATTCCTTCTTACGCGAGCCTTTGGTAACGAGGATTTAATGGTGTCACGAATTTCCTGAGCTCGAACACGATTGGTTCGATCCATAATGTTATACAGAAGATTTTGGACAATTATTTTTGATGCTGTGTTATTTTATCTATACGTGGTTTGCGTTACTGTGTGTATAAAGTGCAGCATGAATATTATTGTAAGGTTGCTGTTACTATATCATTTTTACAAGTAAAAACTTAAAAAAGAAATATTCTAAGGTAAGGGGTTAATTATTATCATCCCTAGGCTACACAGAATATAACATGAAATATGGAAGGTTTTAGATAGAATGTATACAGATTTATAATGAAACAGAAACTTTCGCTTTTAATTCTAGAGAGGATACAGCCCCTTAGTCCTATGCACGAGAGATATTCTCACCTAAATTCGATGAAGCCATGATGCAGTATCAACGCCATGAAGTCGCCCTGAAGATCGTCCTTCTCCCCGGCAAGAAGCAGGATCCCGTCCCACGCCTCCGGCCGGAATTCCAATTCTAATTGGACGTGCTTGTAGGCAGCCTTCAGCGCGGGGAACGCCAGCCAACTGGAGCCCGTGAAACGCGGCGACCTGACTTCCGCCTCTGCAACCGAAAATAATTACCGTCGTTATTGTGTGTAGGTATAGTTCACTTGTCGCGGGATGATGTAGCTTTATTATCACGATCTTCGCGAGGAAATCGACCGTGACAAGCGTCGCCATTCGCTTGGTGTACTGTTACCAACCCAACAGGCGGTGCCCGCCATTTTGGTGGCCCTATCAGCGAATCGCAATTTGTATTTGGGAGGGTTACGAAATGTTTACGGAGCAATTGTAATTTGTAATTATTATATGAGGTTGGTAGATTAATTGCGGGTTATTTGAGAAATAAATGATTAATCAGGAATTTCTTGATTCGTTGATGTATTATTTTCTTTCTGATTGGGACGATAAGAGTTATTTTATTATTAATTGTTTCTTCGCAGGCAAGGGGATTGCATAGTCAATGTAGCAATGAATTAAACAAGAAGGTTAAATATGTTCCTTCAATTTCCTTTAAATATGAATGATTATCCGACGGTCAACTATCAAGCTTCTTTTCAACGTAACACAAATTTTGACAAAGATTAGAATATTCGCCCTGTAAAATGTATCATATTAAAATTTATTAACAATTTCTAAAAATGGTTCTTGTTCGCCAGAGCCCTGCTTGGATAAACTCTTACAAATTCTTAATCCTTAATTACTTAAGAACAGCATATACCATAAATATATTATTCACAGAATAACACCTAACAGCCGCAAACTATCAAAAACCACTCAAGTACCATTTACAAAACTGTTATATTCAAAAAGACACCCCACAACAAAAAAGCCAAGAACCATCACAAACATTGGCCAAGGGGAATTCGTAGTACATAAGGAGAAGACGATGCGCAGCAAAAAAGTTTCAATATCTCGTGCACGAAAGAAACGTAGATCCTATCTGCGCAACGGTGCCACGCTTCGTCTTCGGTCGAAGGGACAAGGAACAGGCTTCCGTGGACAAAAAGCCGCGTTGCGTCGCCCTCGAGCGTCCCAGGAAACGAAGAAATATGGTTAAAGTCGAGGAGGGCGAGGATAAAGGGGGCCGGGGCAGGAAGCCGGGAATCGTGGTTGCCGGGGACGTGCGAGGCTTAAGGAACATCCTTTACCTTTGGCGAAGCGGAGCCGACTATCAGTCAAGGGAACAGTACTGTACCCGGTTGTTGGGAGGCCTTCGGTTGGTAGTACACGCGAGTGTAAGGGCGGGCGATAAATCAGACGCGGCGAAAGGAATGGGAAAAGTTGCGCCTGACGCTTCCGGAAATGGAATAACGCCTCCTGATCTGTGAATCCACTCGCATAATAAACGTTATTCGACGAACTGCGGTATTGCGGATTCCTGCCAGACGCCGGGAATTGCTCGGGGTATTCCCCCGTCTGTTTATTTCTTATTCGATTTATTCATTGCTTTCTGTTAGTTAGGTGGGTTTGATAATGGTGGTGATAGCTTCTGCTGGGGGAAGAAGTGGCATTTGGAAATTGTGTGAAAGCGAAATTGGGAAATATATTAATATTAATATTTCTTTTGTGCATTTACTTTAATATGAATTATTTATTGCATATTATCACTTCATAAACTATCATACTACGCTATTTAATATTAATATTAAATAAAAATATTAATTATTAAAATATTTAACTAAAATGTTAATTAAAATATTAATATCAAATAGTTTGGTATGATAGTTTATGAAGTGATAATATGTAATAGATAGTTGAGATTAAAGTAACTGGACAACAGTTATGTAGACACAACATTACGACAATGTTCGTAGTTGCACTATTTCGTTAAAATTAGCATATTTTCTTTATAAAGTATAAAAAGAGAACATGAGAAAGGTCTCGTTAATTTCTTGAACGTTACAGCAGAGCAATTTAGTTTCCTTTGCCACTAACACAAAGTGGTGTTTGTTACGAACGATTATAATATAAAATCTGACATTTTTATTTATGTTCCTTTATATTGTTGAATAATAGAAGTTGTAATTTCATTCTTAACAATAGTTACACTGTATCTAAGTTAAGTATTGTTACCCTGACATGAAACCTTGATTTAATAAAATCAAAGTGGTCTGTTATTCGACCACTTTCGAGCACAGAAATAGAAAACCAACTAATAATTACAGACAGCGCGTAGATGCAAGAATAATCCTCGAAAATGACTCGCATGCCTGTGTGCACTTCTAAGAGTTTGTTTGTTATAATATAAAAACAACAGCTATTTACTTTTTAATGAGCCTTTGACAAATTGTAGTACCCATCCAATGTGCCGGTATCCCATTAATTTCTGCACTGAGTGGGTAGGCTGACATTATCATCTCAATCCACGTCAATGCAATTATTTACAGGAAAAGATTGTTTAAAAGTAAAATTAAATGTTACCAACAGGTTCATGAAGTGAGCCAATTGGAATTCTTCTATGTGGAGAGCCTTCAGAGATCTGAACGTGACCTACAACCTTTGTAGGATCGTATATTTCATTTGCAATTTTAACAATCAAGTTCTATTGGATTGTGAGTGAAAAAAATTGACAAGAAGAAAGAACCATCGTTGTTTTATTAGTAATAAATAATAACAATTTTGTGTTTTTAACTTAACAAATTGTAACTTATAAATTAATAATAACTTCATTGTTATTCTATTGTATCTTTATTTTGGCTCAAATCTGATTACCAATGAAATATGTGGTCTGTAAAGTCTTCAAAAATCGAAACTTAAAAGATAAATTATTAATTTTATTTACGATTTTTTACTCTGCACAGCTCAGTTTTTAATTTGCTTATAGTTTACTATTCAATAATAGTTTAATCATTTATATATACAATTAATGCAACGGTTGAACAAAACATTTTTAACAAAGACTGCATAGTATCTGATGGTACAATAAATAACGTAAGAAATTCAACGTAAGGCGGCGTTCACAATAAAATAAATTACGGATAGTCAATAAAAATTCACTTTTCCTTACAAAACGTGGCTTTATTGAATCCTCCTCTATCGAACACTCTCGGGTCAACACGTACCGTGAAAATAGCGGTTTATAGCGTTACTAGAAGAACCGGCGACCTTGACCGGCAGGAAACCTCCGCCCTAACCGCCATGGATCCACGGGCTGAGACCAAAAATTATGCAAACATTCCCGGAACATCATGTATGCAGAACGTGCGTAACGAACCGAGAAATCGCGTTGTTTGTATTCCCACGTCGTTAAAAATCAGCAGCATCATTCTGGCAGGGTTGCTCGTATCCCTGGCTACGACGTTTTGCGGATCAGCTCTCATTACCCCGACAAACCGGGCCACGATGTTTCATTGTTACCAATCCGAAGATCACGGCTTGCATTTCCAATCGTTCTTTGGGCACAGTGATTTGAGTAGCTCATTGGTCAAATCGAGTAATTCTACTCTTTTGAATTTTTTAAGAGTCTATCGTTAAAAAGGCTCGATTGGCTCTTGACTTTTTAGGTTCGGAATAATCCACATCATTGGATTTGGTACCACGAAATAACTAAAATACCATTGGTCATCCGAAAGGTAGAATAATTTTGAAAATTATTTCAAGGATATGCTATTTTATGTATTTTACTTAAGAAAACATTAGATTATAGTTAGGTTATAATTATACAGTATACCTTATTGAAAGTACAGTGAATTTTTGTATAACATATCTGAATACAAATACCTTCGAAATTGTAGAATATTTAAAATTTAAGAAAATACAGAATAATAAATAATTTTGCAAACAGAACATAAATTACATAGTTGATCTTTCGATCTAACTATCACTATACCAGATTTACTTTTCCCTTGTACATCATTTCAATATCACTATGTCATTTGTGTTTGATAATAAGAAAAATTTTTCAACTTTCAATAAAAAGTCTCCACTAACAAGTTTCCAAAAAAACTGCTACTTAATTAGAAGAAACCAATGTTCCCTCGATTTTTTGTACACCGACGCTCAGTTGATTTTTAATTTCGATTGCACGCAATTATCAGCTCTACCGTAATAAGCAAACCTTAGGGGATAATAACATTAACCCCTTCATACCCGGTACGTTATAGTGTACACTGTTTTACTACTTCAATATCTGACAAAATATTAAAACTGTGACAGACAGCTATATATACATCTTTCCTTTGAGCCTACTTCTATCAAAAACGTACAATTGCGAGATGACCTTATATCTACCGGAACAGTACAGAGGCAAGAGGTGTTTTTCCAATTTATAGTTTCATGTTTTTGATTAGTTATATATAACTGTATAGACGAGTAGTTAGTTAATTAGTGTAAAAATCAATAATTAGAAAATAAAACCAACAGAGAATTGGGTGAGGAAAATGAAAACTGATTGATCAGCCTGATTCTCAGCCTAGCCATCGGATGATCTCCTAGCAGTAGTATCTATACTACCACTATTTTATTCGAAATAACGTTACTGATGATGCATTGACTGGTGGTACATTGTTGTTACTTATGTAACTAACAATTTTGTACAAAGATCAGGTCCGAACGAATTAAGTTAAAATTAAAAGGGTAGATAGGGGAAGTTAATCGAGGGAAATGGATCGTAGACTGCGACCTGTGCCTGCACGAACATGTGTCGTCTGGACGTCACGTATGACCGCAATGCACATCCGATCGTGTCGTTGCATTTTTATCGTGCCTAGCCCGCAAAACGGACACGACCTGCCGACCCTGGGTCGAATTTCTATAAAGGATTAGCGTGACGCGTCCGAGTACACCATGGTTTTAGCGTTCATCCGTATTAACTTGCGGAACCGACATCGGAGAAACAACGAGAGGGATTTCGTCGGTGCTCTCGTCTGCATTTGTTACCGACCAAACAAATATGGCGCCTAAAAACCTCTGCGTTTCTATGTCAAAACAGACTCGACATTAGTTTTTATTTGAATTCTTTGATTTGAGAGCTTTTCATGGCCTACAATGTTATATTGAATACGTAGAAGCTTTCGGGTGTAAGCTAATTCGCGGTGAGATAGCCCGATTTCATTTAAC